CGGTAACCTTTACTATCAAAAGAGCCATTTTTGACCAAAAATAAGGCCTTTAATGAAGGTAAAATAGCCTATTATGTCTAAATTAGCCTATAAATAAGCATTCATTCATGTTTTACCACAAGGTGGCCACTCTGCAGGGCACTATGTGATTATTTGGTACTTTAACTTTGCCGAGCTGGCAGTGAGAGCAGAGAAATCTGTCCTTGCACTTTGAAATTCTCTATTTTATTGTGAGACTTTTACTTTTTTGGATTTGGCATCCACAGCTAACCACCTAGGAAGATTTAAAACTAGCCACTGCTATCGTAACAGGAGGCTGGGGTCTAAAGAACTGAATATGGAGGAAACTGAGTCAAAAAAGTTGGCCTGAACTGAATACCACACAGACTGAGCCAGGCTCCCATCCAACAGAGAGTGTAGGAGGCTTGATTACAGATGAGCAGCAGGTGTGCAGCCTTGTGAGGCAGCAGGAGACCTTGACGCCACGCCCAGCTCCAGCTCCAGACAACAAACACACACACGAGAGACAGAAACATAAAACATACAAACATACAGAGTGTGAGAATAATGGAGAGAAGGGAGACTCAGACCCTGACATTACGAGACCAACTGAGATGGTTTTGGTGAGTTTTATTTTGTTTCTGTCGAGTTTGAATGACAAGTTTTATGATGAGTTTACAAGGTAATTAAAGCTAACGACAGTCTCAGCTGGTGGAAGACAGAAACTTTGATTGGTGTACAGTTGTATTTTTCTGTTTATTATAAAAAAAATACGGGTAAGAATAGGCCAAAATGGAGATGTCCACATAACAACTAAAATTCTTTCTATGGCTGTAGATATCGTCCATAGCAATGTCTGCCTTCTTTCACATATAATTGAATTAGATGGCGCTCAGCTTGTGGTGCTCAAAGCGCCAAAAAGTACCTTTAAAAAAACTCAATAATTGGGTGCTCAGTAGCTCAGTGGGTTGGGTGTAGTCTCGCTCACCAGACCTTTCTCAAGAAAAGAAAGGTCTGACTGCGCCAACTCTCACTTTAAGATTGGAGAAAAAAACGCCCCGGCTTTTTAAAATTTCTTTCAACCAATCACAATCGTTCTTGGCAGTGCCACAGCAATGGTGCACTTGAAAACTGCTACACAACCGGAGGTGGTAGGGCGGGACTTCAGGGGTTGGCTCATTCCGCTTACTGAGAGGCTGATCTATGCAGCGAACCTCCGCCCACTCGGACTAGGGTGGGTGCCACATGTACAAAGGAAGTATCCTTGCCGCAGCAGCTGCAGGCCGGATTCCAACCTGCGGCCCCCTGCTGCATGCCGCATAGTGCCCTTGGTATCAACCGGCAGGAAGTTCACATGCTAATTTTGTGAATATCCAGAATGAGGGGGCTCCTTTGCTCTTGATCTAAATAGACTGCAAGCAGGGATTTTTGGGACACATGGAGTAAATTTCTCACTACCTGAAAGAGTGAATTTAGTGTAGTCTGTGTCGGCAATATCACACCTAGTTGCTGTTTGAGAAGTTGCTTTACTTCTAAATATAGAAGTTGTCCATATATAATGTTGTTGTGTAGTGAAATTGTTTATGGACCCTTGTCATACAGAGGTAGAGATATCAGGAATTTCTGAGTACTACATGTCCCATTTGGCACATCGCCATCACTGACAGTTACTACACTTAAACAAAATCCTATATTTACGCTGATATGACTCATTTTATAAAGCGTTATACATTTTATTTATATATATATATATATATATATATATCTGACCTCAATGGTAAATGGACTGCTAATACCATAAAACTTCAATTAAGAGCCTAGTCTCAATTAAGACGCCTGGTCTGGTTGCCAAGCGGTTCATTTTATAGATGTTTTTGGGTGTATGAAACTGGATTGTTGGCTACCCACTTGAGTTAATGTTAGTTAGCTGCTTGGATCACACGTACAAATATAAATGTTAGAACTTCTGTCAGTATGTAGATGCTACACATTGTTAGCTCAGTTAGAATCTCCACAATTCAATTGTTCGGTTCATTTTTCTGAAACCATGAGCACCAGAGAATACCGTAGTTCATTCGGATTTACCTGCATGACAAAATGCTGTCATGTCCTTTTCTTGATTACCATGTAAGTTCTCCATATTCCTTTAGTTCTTAGGGTCCACTGATCAAAAGAGATTTTTTTTCCATCTAAAAATTAATCCAAATTATGAATATTATTTTAAAAGGATCAAGTGGTGTTGTGTTTGTATGCCAGGTGCCATAACCATCCCTGATGCCCTGCCTGTTGGAGCTAGATCAAAAGAATGATTCATATTTGAAGCCTGATTTTTTTTGTCCTACATAGAAGTCTGTTGAGTTCAGTGATTTAAGCGAATAATAACACGGGCTACTAATTGAAGTTTTACGGTATTATGCAACCAAATCAAATAACCCAATTTAGCATGCTTATTTGGTGTGCCAACAAAGCCAGCAGTGGAGGTAGCCATCTTGGAATAATTCCTAAACACAAGCCCCAAAAAAGTTGTTTTTATATGGTGGCCATATGTGGAATTACAACGTCTGGGTGCGTCACGTTATGCCTTATGACCCCAAAATACTTTTTCCCATAGACTTTAATTGTGAAAGTAAATCAGTAAATTTGTTTTTTGGAGCATCAGTACCCCCACGAAATGACTCCTTTCACTATCAGGATTTGATCCATTTCAAGTGTCTAGAAGAAAATTTAATCATTTTATCCCCATTCAAGTAAGCTCTCCGGCTCAAAGTCTCAAGTAAACTCGCTCTGTGGGCCTGGCGATACAGAGGTAAAGGGTAAATCAACTTTTTGGCTTTGTGCATCACTGAGCAACTTTCATTGGACTGAATAGGGCCCCGAATCTAACGCTGTATCCACTCCTTTTAATAGATATATGGTGAACACAAATCAGAATATGAGGAGCTTTCCTGTTTTTCCCATCGTGCCAACAGTGTGTAAATGCAGCATTAGATTCCTCGGTAAGATGTAGGATTGGTCGGCCTATTCACTCGAATTATTTTATTTTAATTTGAAAGTATTATCGATATACAGTCAATGCGTTTACATGGACAGTTTAATTCCACTTTTAATCGGAATGAAACGCCAGTCCGATTAAAAGTGGTCATGTAAACGGTCATTCCGATTGAAAGTTAAATCCGATTAAAGGGGGTGGTTTATTCCGTTTGTCATTCCGAATGAAAGAATTTTGTGTGCATGTATACTCTCATTCCTCTTTAAGTTCATTCCGGTCTTTCTGCGCATGCTCGTTTCCTTGCTCTTCTGGCACAATGACGTATATAGCGTGCATAGCAACGGGCTGCATAGCAACGGGCTGAGATAGAGCAGTCGGACTCATTGCACTCACCGGTTTCCATTCGCCACAGCACGGTCTTCTACCTCCCTTCTACTCCTCAACAGATGAAGCATTAGCAGAACAAGGTTGTTGTCGTACTGCTGCTTCAAGAATATAAGCAAAACACGCCCGAAAAAGGCACTAAGAACGGCGTCGTCAAGCGTCTTGTTATCCGGAGCGAGGACTACAGTGTTTTCTTCCGGTAAACGTAAACACGTAACATCCGCCCCGCCCCCTATCCAATCAGAAACCTTCCCTGCCCCAAACCTTGCGCAGACTTGAATAAAGGCGATTGAACTGATCTCCCGTGTAAACCCTCATTCGAAATGAATATTTCCCATGTAAACTACCTGGAAAAACTGTAATTCCGAATGATTTCATTCAGATTTATTTCATTCTGAATGAGAAGCCATCATGTAACCGTAGCCAGTGTTTATACAGTTTTTTGTTTGGGCATTTTCATGGTTAATTGACTGCAGTGATGCGGGCTGAAGGTGGACAGAGCATCAGGGGTAATTTAACCAGTTTCCTGTGAGTTGCTTCATTCTAAATACAGATATTGTCCATATTTAAACTCTCATGACACCGTGGCAACGCTCCGTGAGTGCAGCATTAGTGTCCTCTGCAGGAAAGAAGATGGGTATTCACTTGAATTATTGTTTTTTATCGTGACAGTGATTTCAGTCTCTTCCTGCTTTATTTTTAGATGCCCGAGGAGAAAAAAAAGGAAAAAGTGATCTTGAGGAGTAACAAGGCAGCTCCCCTGCAGGCTGAGCTGTGGCCCCGTCTCTGTCTGAGAGGTTCACACACACACACACACACACACACACACAGCTGCAGACATACTGACACATATGGCCTTATGAGCACAGACGCACACACACACTCAAGCACACACTTGAAAATGTCAAGTAATCTTGAAGAGACTGACAGTCACCAGGTCCACGGGTTCACAGTCTCACACTCCTGTGGTGCTGTGCTCTGACAGCCACTACCAGCCGAGTGTGTGTGTGTGTGTGTGTGTGTGTGTGTGTGTGTGTGTGCGCGTGTGTGTTTTACAGTGGAAGACGTGTCACTATCTGCCTATCTGTATATTTGTTATGTAAACATGTGTCATGCAGCGTGTACTTTTGTGGTCAGTGGATGCTCACTCAAAGTAAACTGTTTCTGAATTCTTACCGGAGAAGCAATTTGTCACTTCACGCTAATGAGGAACTACTTTGCTGCCAGCAGGATGGAGGAATACAACAGTTTGAACAACTATCATCTCACTGTGTGAAGCCTGAGCTGCCCTCAGCTGTCAGATGTACATTTCCAGACTCTGAACACAGTGAAAGTTTTCTCCTTAACGAATGTGACACCTGTGTTTACAAGAGAATCCTCGTAGTGTGCAACCCCAGGAACACACATACTAGTTTATGGAAATGAGAACGGTGTGAAAAAAATCCAAATTGTCACTCCTATGCAAATTCTGCAGTGTTGTATTTGCAAACTGTGAGTCACAGAGTGATTGTGATTGTAGCCTGTGAGCATACGTTTGTCTTGGTGACAAAGAAAACACATCACACCAACTCTCTCTGTCCATATCTGCCAGGGAACACAAACAAAAGTAAGCGGAGGGGTGTGTATGTGTGTGTATTCCAAAGTTTGCTTTTAATATTAACTAGAAAAAAAATATTTGCCCATTTCCTCCACCCAAGTCTACACACAACAATTCACTGTCACCGTATGAGAGGAGGTCTCCCATCGCCGGAAAGTAGCTCACTAGACAATCACAGTTTATGTGCTGTTGGTAAACAGAATTAAAAAATACAGCAGTTCAAACTCAATCAGAAGTAGTCATCAGTAAATGTACAGTACAATTAAACATTTTCATCATTAAGTGAGCTGATGTTCGCCTCATCACGGTCACTTCATTCAATGAATTTCAATGTCATTTTCCACTCAACACTCAATGAGGCACACAGGGGGGGTCCCCCTCATACCTGTAATCAATATTATTAAATTCCCATCTCCACACACTGATATAAAACTGATGCACAGAGAGTTCACACTGCCACTTTATATTAATAATCTTTATCCTGTTGGATTTTTTTTTTCTTCCCCCACCATCGCTGATTTGAACTCGCAGTGAGTCGAGCTGCCTTCTCAAACACATCTCAGTTCCCTCACTCGTGACCTTTTAAACCTTGTCAGCCTCCAACTGTGATTTGTGCTCAAATTTGTGCTATTGATTTTATTGTAGTGTATTAATTGCGCCGAGCGCTGAAGAATCAGCTGTTGGCTTTGTTGCGGTGTGGAAAGTGAATGTCAAGAAGTACAAAACAGGAATAGTTCAGAGACTGTGAACGACTATTTTTTGACACAGTGAAAAATAGATATTTAGGCAGTTAAAGCTGGAGTGTAGAACTTTTATCTCCCTCCTCTGGCAGTGGGAGTAATTACACGAACACTGTCGAACATGTGCCTTTGACCATGGGTGGATTACGAGACAACTGGCTCCTGGGCAAAGATCTGCAAAAGGCCCCACCACCTCTCCTACCTTGTGGTTTTGCCTCCCTGTTATTGTTGTTCTGACACTGACGTATGCCTACAGGAGAGCCCACTGCATCTCCCCCACCCCCAGGAACTTGCTCGTCAAGTCTTTTTTAAAATGTATTCCTTCTCTAAACGCAGAGCTTCTTTTTTATCTGGCGCATCCACTTCAGGAACTTTTCTTGGATACTTCTCAAGATCTTCTGCTGCCATCTCTCCCCACTTCCTGCCCCCTTTAACTCTGTCTGGTTGACGTAAAATGCATCACTTTTGGTGCACCAGTGCAGGAAAGTCTCCACAGACACCACAGTTCTGGTGAACTGTGAAATACAGAGAGCTTTCCCTGGCTATGGTAGGCCTAATCAGCATCGTGTGATTCTGTTTAGTACGGGCTTAAATGTAAGAGACGTTCATTTATATGTAAAAGTCCTGCACTCCAGCTATAACTGTTTTTTAGGCACTTTGATGCAAGCTTGTACAACTTGTTTAGTTGTGATTCTGGTGACCTGGTGAATGGAAGTCCAATATTCACTCCCTTTAGCTGTGTTTTTGTTCTCCACCAACTCCTGAGGGAAATCTCTGGCTGTTTAGCTGCTAAATGCTCCACTATGTTCACTAGCTAGTTGCCAACTGTGTGTGTCTGCTGTTTTATGCTGAGCAGGAAGCAATCAGGGGTTTATTAGAGCTTTTTCTGCTCAGAGCAGCTGCCTGTTGCATCTGGAAACAAGGTGATGAGAGTGAGCAGAAACACTAAAGTTGTGAGCTGAATGATGTTAATGTTCTGTAGAGTTAAGAGAACCTGCAGAGTTAGCTGATCATTCTTTGTGGGGTTGTTAATACAAGCAACTCCTGTCTTGTATAAGTAGTCAAGTGATCCACTGTTAAGGCCTTTTGCACACTGAGTTTGTTTTTTGCGTCTTTTGCCCTTTACTTCCATCAAAGGTTTTCTCACAACCTTTTGATAAAACGTAACAGAAACCAGGATTGAGAGTCTTCAACAACAACCAAAAAACGGATTAATGCAAACAACAGGTGGATCAACCAACCATTGACTAAGAAAAGCAAATTCACTAGTCTGATGGGAAAATAAATTTAAAAAACCCCTGAAGAAATTAGGTTTAACAATGGCAGAGTTTGTGATTTACAACATTTAATATCTATGAGCAAATCAGAGGCTGGAAGGATAATTTGGTTTCTACATTTTCAAACCATATGAACTTTTTTCTCCACATCACATCTACTGTAATTCTGTCTTTGTGTTTTTTTTGTGACTCCCTGCTGGTACTGACTGAAGCAATTTCCAATAAAGATCCACACATGCTGTGGTCCTCTCTTTTTGAACACAGTGCAAAGACAATATTTATACATTGCCACATGGATAATTGCAGTCACACACAAAAAATCTAATTGCACCCAGCTGCAGAACTTTATGGGCGTGTTTGCACTGTAATGTCATCCGTGCAGTATCGTTTCAGACCTTGAGAAGAGGCAGAGAGTGGTTGCAAGCGATGTGCAATTCTTTGTGAACTCGCCCCACAGTGTGTATTTTATCCACGTGTGACAGGGAGTTGCACGATAAACCATTCAACACAGACACAGCAACTGACTGGAGGTGAGTGTAGGGATGTCATCACACACTATTGTTATGGCACTTTGAGGAGGACTCCAAAAGGCACATAAGAATTAAGGGAGACAGTGCAGATAGGAATATTGCCAGTGTGCGATATTACTGTAATCAATCGGGATTTTGGCCCTCTGACAGGAGCCCAGTGTTTGTGAAGCCGTTAAGACGTTAATCACAGAGAGAAAATCCCTCGATTCACAATGTCTGACAGTAAAAGATGCAGCAGATAGTAACTCATGTGTTTATGTTGCATAATAGAAGCAGTATGCATTGAACCTGAATGTACTTGGAGGATTCAAATAAAGCATTTAAAATGAGAGTGACAGGGTGGCGTACCCAAGCGTGGCCCCATCGCCACTTGTGAAAAGTCATTACTCCGTTAATGGCAGTGCAGCACTTCATAGCATCTCTGCTCCTGCTACAATTATGGATCAATTCAGTCACTGCATGACCAAAACACTCCAAATGAGGAGGAAAAGCTCCTGGCTGAGAGACATGAGGGTGATTACTGAAGTCATTCAAGTCTTGTTTTGTCTCCAATCTCCCTAAACGTCTTCATGTTTTCTACTTGAGAGGAGGAGGACAAGAGAGCGAGCTAGTGATGGTGGCAAAGGTGAGAGAAAATTGCAGACTTGTCCTGTTGTTCTCCACCACGCTTCTTCATTAAACCCTGATGAGGGAGAGGAGGAAGAGGGTGGACAGGAGCATGAAGGATGGTCTGATTGTCCAGGCTTTAGGAAAAAAATAACAAACAGAAAAAGACGCAACATTTTGGCCTTCATTAGTAGACGTACATAGCGCAGACAGAGTCACTGTGTTTCACCGATGTGTCAAAGTTCAGATGACTCCGTAGTCCCTGAGAGACTTGAGCAGCACCGTGTCCTTGATGTCACTGAACACCCTGCGGATGTTGTTAGTGTCTGTGGCACAGGTGAAGTGCGGGTAGAGAGTCTTCCAACTGTCTCTGTTGTCGCGGTTGACGGCCTGCTGCTCGTACAACTTGCGGATGAAGATCTTGGCGTCCTCTGGGTCGTGCCTCTTACCTGTTGACAGAGGTGAGAGGGACGGGAGGGAAAAACAAAAAGGTGAGAGGTGAGACAAGGTTGGGACTGCAGCTGAAACACTTGATAAGTCATCCGACAGACAGTTAATCAGCATCTATTTTGGTAATCAATTGTACTTTTTTAAGCAAAAATACATAATTATCCAAGCTTCTTTTGTCTTATGTTCTACTTTCCTTTAATCTGTCTTTTATTTTCTTGGTTTTATACACCAAAATGTTTATTCGTAATGTTTTTTTTTAAAACCTGTTGCTTTTCGTTCGCTGGGGCAGCAGTCGTTGGGGTAGCAGGCCAAGCAAAGCACCCCAGTCCTCCCTCTCCCAATCAACACTTTCCAGCTCCTCCTGGGTAATCCCAAGGCGTTTCCAGGCCAGATGAGATATGTAATCCCTCCAGCGTGTTCTGGGTCTGCCCCGGGGCCCCCTACCAGTGAGACATGCCCAGAACACCTCTAACAGGAGGCACCCAAGAGGCATCCTGATCAGATGACTGAACCACCTCAACTGACCCCTTTCGACACGCAGAAGCAGCGGCTCTACTCCGAAGCTCCTTCTGGATGTCTGAGCTCCTTACCCTATCTCTCAGCTGAGCCCAGCCACCCCACGGAGGAAACTCATTTCGGCGCTTGTGTCCGCGATCTCATTCTTTTGATCACTACCCAGAATTCATGACTATAGGTGAGGGTTGGGACATAGATTGACCAGTAAATCGCAAGCTTTGCCTCCCGGCTCAGCTCCCTCTTCACCACGACAGTTCATAGTGGTTTTAGTATTATTATGTGATGAATAAAAGGCTGTTTAAATTTTCCGATGTTTAAAGTTAAAACAAGCTATTCAAAGGTGTCAACTTGTGCTTGAGGAGATTGCATTTTTTTCACAAATTGTTTGACATTATATGGATCAAATGTTTATTTGAGACAGTAATGTGTATATTAATTAATAATGAAAATTGTTAGTTGCAGGCCTAGCAACTACATCAGAAAATGTTATTTTTTAAACCCTTTTTCCACCAGAGTTAGAGCATATATGCAGATTTTTTAAAAACTTGGGAACCCTCGCTCAAAATTGGGCAATCGACTCCTTTCCCCGTGCCAGTAGATGAGTATGCCTTTCTGTTTTTTCTTTTTACTGGTGTGTCAAGTTCAATGCCACGCACATGTCAGAAACAGGGTAATTACACTGTAAGCAGCATGGACGCCAGTGAAAATGTCATGTTGGTTATAGGGCTGCCCCCTAAAAGTCGAAGTTTAGTGATATAATTCTGAGTCGGGTACAGCCGTAATTAGTTACTTCTTTTTTTATATCTGTTTCTTACTCAGTCTCTTTCAAACAGTGCTGACTAATTTGCATTGACACAGATGGGGAGAAGCTGTGGCTAAGGTGACAAAGTGTCACAGAAGTTAACGACAGTGTCTGCCCACCTGTGTGTCATGTTTCCATTATTCTTTCAATTAATCATTTAAAATATGGAATGTCAAAAAAGTGCAAAATGGCCATCAAAAGTTTGTATAGTGACGTCTTTCAAGAGGCTGTTTTGTTCGACCAACCCACAACCCAAAGATATTTAATGCACAATTTAGAAAAAAAAGGGGGCACAAGACAGTTAATCGATTACTTGACAAAATTGGTAAAGGGATACTCAGGTTCCAGCATCTCATATTTCAGGCTTTGCCACTTTTCTTTGTGATATTCAATAGTAAACCGAACATTTTTTTTTATGTTTTGGACGGTGGGTTGAATAAAACATCGAAACAGCTGTTCCAATACAATATTTTTTCTTCCCAACACAGATTCAAATACCTGAACTTGCATATTGGCTGATTCCGAGTGTTGATCTGATGCCATTGCGTTAAAGGAAGCAAAAACGATTAAGAGTTGTATACTACGTACTAATTTCCATGTCAAGAAGCCAAATGAAATGTGTACAAATGGAACAACAACTGTTATATATAACAAAAATTATACATATATTCATGGCCTTACGATACTATCCAAATGCAAAAAGGATAATCTTCACATTATTTCACGATGTTCCACTCATTATTATCACAGTATTATTTTAAAACAGAGGTTGAACAGTTTTGGTATATCTGACCAGGTTGTGGGCTGGTTTGTGAATTACCTCTCAGATAGGTCTCAGTGTGTTCAACTTAATGGGCTCATGTCTAACTGGCTCAACATTTGTAATGGTCTACCCCAGGGCTCTGTGTTCGGTCTGCTGTTATTTTCCATTTATGTTGGTAGTCTTGGTCAAAATGTGGATGGTACCAATTTTCATTTTTATGCCGATGACACAGTGATGTATTGTGCCAGCTCATCCATCACAGATGCTGTGGCCTGTCTTTAACGTTATCAAGATTCAGCTTTCACAAATAAAGCTGGCTTTAAATTAGGGATGCACCGAAATGAAAATTTGTGGCCGAAGCCGAAGCCGAATAATATTAAACGCTTGGCCGAATACCGAGTACCGAATACCGAATATTGTTGTTTAGTTTTTCATTAGTTTTTGCAGATGAACCCCCTCCAGATTAGTGTTGTCACGGTACCAGTATTGGGACCCACTGTACGATACCAATGAAAATATCATGGTTCTAAGTAGTATCACGATACCACAGCGAAAATGAGGCAGATGTGCCTTTTGTCATTTATAAAAAGATAAATCACTTTTCTATAATACATCAATGATATTTCAATGGAATAAATTACTTATTGACTTATTCATACTTCAAAAACAGCATCAATAAGTGATTAACATAGGGGGGATTGAAATAAAATAAATAAATAAAATAAGAATCAACCAGCCACCCTCCTCCCCTGACAAGTCCCTTCATAAGTAAAGAACAGTCCCTAAAGTGCGGTGAGGTTTGTGGCCGTTACCTGCCACTGAAAGACTAAAAGAGAGAAATGTGAACGGCTCGTTTCTCCTCTGACACATCACATACCTGTGTTTGGCTGGCTCAGGTGTTCAGGTACTTTTGGGCAGTCCACACGCCAAGAATAGGATATTATTGGAGGCGACTTCTCCGTCGCTGGTAAGCTGATGGCCGCCGTATTTGACAGGAATACATTACTGTCTGTGTCTGTGACCCCCGTTCAACCCACAATCGGTGGGATTCGCCAAAGCTATTTTTAGTCGCAAATGTGAGTGCGGTGACGGACGGATCGCCACACTGCTGACATTTAACTCCACCTGTCACGGCACGCTGTTTGATTGCGTTATCAAAACACGCCACTATTATTCGGCCTTGCTTTTCACTTATTCCACCGAATACCGAATGTGTGTTTTTTTGCAATATTCGGCCGAATATATTCGGTTACCAAATATTCGGTGCATCCCTATTTTAAATGCTGACAAAAATGCTAGGAGGAAGTCTGTGAACACCCCTGATGTTCTTACTACTCAGGGAAAGAATTTAGACGTTGTCACTTGTTAATAAATATCTCGATATTTGGCTTGATGACTCCCCTTCTTTTACACCTCAGGTTGATAACCTTCTTAAAAAGCTGAAGCTGAAGTTTGGGTTTTATTTCAGAAACAAGTCCTGTTTCTACTTTGAGGCTAGGAAAAGACTGGTTGCTGCTATGTTTCTATCTGGTTCTGGATCATGGTGATTTGTTGTACATGAATGCACCTGCACACTGTTTGCACATGTTAGATACTGCATATCATAGTGCGCTGAGATTTGTTAGACATTGTAAAGCCCTCGCTCAGTCACTGGTATTTGGTCTCCTTTTGTACATTTATACTTTGATTGAACAGAGATCTGACTGTAGCTATAGTCTGAGATCTCAAGATTTGGTTTTGCTGTCTGTTCCTAGTGCACAGACTGAGCTGGGAAAGAAAGCTTTCATGTGCTCAGCTCCTCTCACTTAAAATAACCTTCAAAAAGATGAAACTACATGAACTGGTCTCTCTGCCTGACTTTAAAGCTCTCATAAGTACAAGGATGAATGAGTTGGTTGGGTCTTGTCATTGTGTGTAGGTGCTCAAAAATTTTAACATTGTCATTGTCAACATTTAACACTGTCTATCTTTTATGTTCTTTATTGTGTGGTTGTTTGGCTGTACCTTTTGGTGTGCTGCTGTCTTGGCCAGGTCTCCCTTGTAAAAGAGATTGTTGATCTCAGTGGGACTTTCCTGGTTAAATCAATAAAAATAAAAAGTTCTGTTGCTGCCCAAACAGGACCAATCTACTGAAAACAGAATGGAGTGAATGTCAAGTTATTTCATTGAGCGTGGCCTCTGGGACTAGTGCTGTTACGCACACAGCAAAACAGCCTCTAATTCTTCGAAAGACTAGACTGTGTATTCGGAAATACCTGATCCAGCATTTTAGGTAGCATCGGAGGCATTTGTGATTCCTGGAAAAACTCTAGTAATTTTCTGCTCTATAATAAACAAAATGAATAATTGATGATGATTAATTGATAATTACTCAAGTAAACAGACAGATTAATTTAAATAATTGTTGGTTGCAGCCATAAATGAAACATTAAAAAGCTGGAAGCAGTGATTGACTGCAATTTTAGCTTGGAAAAATGAATCCATTAGTTTTGTGTCAACAAACTAATCATTTAATTGAATAGTAATTTCCGCTCTGGTCCAGTTCACCACTGTGTCAACACTGTGTAGGACAGCAGGGCTGCGTGACAACAGTAACCTTCAAGTGTAGATTGCAGCAGCCGCAGTAAGAAGGGCCGCACAGGAACACGACAGCAAACAGCAGCCAGAGGTAGGAGCTGCTCTGAGTCGTCGTTAAGGTTAAATTGACATGAAGGGGCTTGACCCTGTATGAGTCATTATTTTACTCTGCTAACGCTGATGGTAAAACGCAGTGGGCGTACTGCAGATACACACACACACACACACACACACACACACAAATAATCACTTGCAGTCATTTATTCCATCTTTGCACACACACACACCTTATACACGTATAAGTGGGAGTTTGTGGGGGGTGCATGGCTTGTGGGAAGCACAGTCTGTGGTTGCCATGGGTAACAGAGGGAGAGAGGTGGAGGTGGAGGTGATGGGGTGTTGGGGGGAGGTGGGGACTCTTAGGGCAGCGCTCTACAGCCTCTCACACCAGCAGAGTTACAGGCTGCAGCCACATCATTAAGCACACCAAGTACCTGGAAGTGACTCATTTGCAACTGTGTGTGTGTGTGTGTCTGTGTGTGTGTGTGTGTGTGTGTGTGTGTGTGTTAGCTTAAAAATATATAATGATTGTTGGTTTTGCTGACACCAGGACAGCGATGGAGGGTTCAGAGTCAGGGACGCACTGAGGCTGAAATCACCCTACAGATTATTATTTTTGAGATGAAACATCAGCGGGTGCAGCAGGATGCAATGAAATGGCCCAAAGCAAGGCTGGCCGGAGGAGGAAAACAACATCGCAGCTCTCTCACACATGATTCTGGCCAGGCTGTGATGAGAAACATGCACACAATGTAATCTGCCGCTGACTAGGCTCCGCCCTCTCACATACTGCTGTAATTTCTTGTTTGAATGTTTGAATTTCGACTTTGAGCTTCACCAAAGTGTTGGATTTGGTTTTAAAAGCCAAACCTGGCACTTCTCCCTCTGTACAAACCATGTCACATCACACCACAGCTCAGTTACCATTCTTAAATACGCAGATGACACAACCATAACGGGACTTATAACCCAACAACAACGACCAAGAGTGGGAGCAGGTCACCCAAGCAGCCACTTGTTCAGTTTACAATATATATATGTATATATATATATATTTATTTACGTTTATGTTTGTTAATAATTCCTGTTTATTTAACTATATATTTGTTAATACTATTGTTTAAATTTCTTATATTTTCACGTATCTTTCCTCTCTTGCAAGGAGCACCTGTAACATAAATAATTTCCCCTCGGGGATCAATAAAGTATTTCTGGTTCTGATTCTGATTCTGATTGTTGCCTTGATAACAACCTCCAGCTCAACACATCTAAAACACACAAACTCATTATAGTTTCCAGGCACAACCCCCTCCCCAAAAGCCCCATGGAGAACCCATAAACATCACTGAGTCATTCACATTTCTTGGAATACACATCAGCAACACACTCAAATGGACCATCAACACAGATCACATTATCAAGAACACATAGCAGAGACTGTTCATGTTAGGACAGCTCAGAAAGTTCAGAGTTAAAGCCTTCGCCTTTAGTTTTACACTGCACCCTTGAAAGTTGGAGATTCGAATCCTCAGACCCCTCAGTCAACTGAGATTGCTTTAAGTCTAGCAGTCTTTTATTTTTTGCTAGTCAGTGTGTTGTCTTAACTTTAACGCTACTCCTTGGTACAGTCAGCTGCGGCCATGATGCAGCTGCACAGAGGAGGAGAAAATTTCCACTGTAAGACTCTGAGATAACATTAACTTGAATTTATAGCTCACAGCAACTTAATACGATATAGTCTCTGGCTTTTGATTGTATCTAGTGTCAGCAGAAAATGAACATTTCTAATCATTGCTAGTGATGTTACGTGAATGCTGCTGTCACGCTTAACGTCCCGCTGAGCCGGGTTCAAACTTTAAGACTTACTATGGAAAAGAAACCAGAATGGTCGAATATTCATATTAGCTGGCAGAATCTGATTCAACTGATATAATCCTAGTTGGGTACAGCCATAATAGATTGATTGTTCAGTCTATAAAATGTCAAGGAGTCTGCAGTGTCACTGGAGGTTCTCTGAGGCTGTACTTAAGCTAAATGCTGAGGCTGAAACTTAATGAATAGTTTTGGACAGACTGATAATTTACCTGCCTTTGGAGCTAAGGCTGCGTTCAGACTGCAGGCGAATCTGATTCAAATCTGTTTCCTTCTCAAATCCGATTTTTGACTGCTGACTGTCCACACTGTTTTTAGCAAGTGGACAAATCGGATTTGGCTCTGTTCAGACTGGGCCACGTTATTGACCAATCTGACAGGTTGCTGTGGCAATGACGTCGGAGCGGAGGCGTCATCCAGCATTTACTGTGTGATGTCGTATAAGGAGCTATTCAGACTCAGACACATCTGTCCAAATGCGATCTGAAACTACCTCCCAAAGGTGGTTTCGATCTGGTTTGCAAAAACCGGATTTCATGTCATTTATGACTGTTCAGACTTCATAAGAGCCATCTGGTTCCAATCTAGATTGGCTAAAAATCGGATTTTGGCTGGGAGTCTGAACAAGGCCTAAGAGGAAACCCAAAGTGGTAACAGACAAGTTTTTTGCATTCTTTTATTATTATGAAGCATATACTGATTGCCGAATGTTATGGCTACAGAAGAATGACACCATCAGCATTAAGATTGGTTCCTTGTAAGCTAGAGCTTTTATCTGGCCTAAAAAATCAGGCTCGACCCTACATGAATCAACACAGGTACTGCCTGACCCAAGCCTGAACCACGACAGCAGTGTTAGGCCCGACTCTGATTAATTTTTTACTGTGAAAGAAAATATTGTTTTTAGTCTTTTAACATTTCATGACAAGCTTCAGGCTGACATGTTTGCTCGCACCACTTCCTCTTCTCTTCCTTCTGTTCTGTCATGAATCTATCGTCAGCTTTGCGTCTTGTGCACAACAGGTTTGGCAGTATGGGCCGGAATCCCTTGGTGCACCTCTGTCTTCAAGTGCACCTGGCCATCCATACTGATGCAGCACACAGATGATGATCTCTGCTGCTTGTTACACACATCTCTCCCACTGCAGGGGAGGCAGAAGCAAACACTGCCGACCAAGTCACCATATGGCCCCCCTTCTCTCTCTGTCTCTCTCTTTCACACACTCCATCTCTCTACCCTGGTTTTCCACTCTGTTGCTCCATTGCTCCGTTACTCTCCCTGTCTGTCTATCGTTGTCCCCTGCTCTCTCTCTGCTCAAGTACAATCAATGAAGGCTCGATATACAGCACAAAATACATGCATCAACCATTGTACAACCAAAACAGGAAGAGGATAGCGCTTATGTTTTCCCTGGTAGCTATCGGTGTTACCCCCTGTTATCAAAGAGTATCAGAGGAAATAGTGGACAGTGGAACAACCAAAGTAAATGTGGAAAACAAAAGTGTGTGCTGCGCTGTTGGTAGTTGCTAGGCTCCAAAAGCAATCTTTGCTACAGTGGCGCCAACAATAATACTACTAGGAAATGCTTTAATGGATCACCAAAGATGTTGCAGTTCATCTTCAGTGTTTAAACTAAATTTCATGGCAATCGAACCAATGGTTGTTGAGGTATTTCAAAAAAAAAAAAAAAAAGCAAAATGTCAACCTCATGATAGCGCTAGAGGAAAAGTTAAGGGATCAAGAAATCACTCGGATTCATCCACTGGGGACTGTGAATGCTTGCCCAAACTTTCAAGGCTGTTGTTGAGAAATATCAGTCGGGGAAGTAATGGCGATCAGTATATGATATAACTTCACTATAGATGAAAAACATGCATCCACAGCTCACCTGTGAAGCTGGGGAAATATTTCTGCAAGTCAGAGGTCTGGATTTTGTCAGCCAGGATGTCAGTCTTGTTGAGGAAGAGGATTATGGAGGTGTTGAAGAACCACGGAGAATGGATGGTGGTGTAGAACAGAGCCAGACTCTCATGCATACGGTTCTGAAGACAGAGACAGATATCATGCTGGAGGCTGCAGTCAGGGGGGTTGTAGATAAAAGGATTAAACCAAAAGTTTTTGAGACGACTTGAGGACAGAAAAACAGTTTTCGGAGATGGCGAGGTGGACGTGGGTGGCTGAGGATGAAGCAGAGAGGGAAGTGGGCCTTTAAAGAGAGGAGGGAGGGAGTTTATGGGGGGTCTGGAGCACACGGGGCCACTGTGGAGGTTAATGAATGTGTTGGCTGACTAAAAAGTGGCAGAGAGAGATAAACGGCTTAGTGACAGCATGGGAGGGAGGAACGGACAGAATGCGACAGAGGGCTGGAGAGGCTGAGGAGAAGGGGGAGATAGAAGGAAGGGGCAGAGGGGGGAGGTTGCCTTGTGCAAGAGTGAAACCTGCTGGTGGACGGATGAAATGACTGCAGTGAGCGCAGTGACAATTTGCAAATTACCAATCTGTTTTATACTTTGGTATTTATGATTTATTTGTAAAACTACACCAAATTCCAGAGATGAATATTTAACTTTTTACTCCACTATGTTTATCTGACAGCTACAGTTACTGTTTAGTGTCTGTATTATCGTAAAATAGTGTAAAATGTCCATCACAGAGTCTAAGGTCTGCAAATTACTTCTTTTGTCTGACCAACAGTCAAAACTCAAAAGATATTCATTTTGCAATGCTGTAAAACAAGAAAAAGGAGCAAACCCAAACTTTGGAGAAACTGAAAACAGAGAATATTTGGTAGTTTTTGCTTGAAAATTACTAAAAATATTAATCAAGTATCTAAGTTCAGATAGATGAGGTTGTTTCTACTATGCTGTCCACCCTCTGCTGTGATAGACCAAGAGTGAGACACACAGACAAACTTCTCAGTGCCCTTACGATGGTCTCTCTCTCCTCCAGGACCTGGTCGTACTCGCTGAGGGAGGCCAGGAAGATGAGGGAGGTGACGTTTTCAAAACAGTGAATCCACTTCCGACGCTCCGACTTCTGACCACCCACATCCACGATCCTGTCAGGTACCAGAGCAGAGGGAGGAAGAGTTAAAGAGGGCAAGAAAAACTGTTTGAGGAACAATTTTAAAGGCTGTGTGATCCAGAACGGTAATAAAGCTACAACTATGAGGTAATCGCCTAGTCCGCATGTACACGGATATTCTTTGCTGGGGTTCAGAGTCAAGACAAACCTTTTCTTCAGTTCAGGTTGGTTTAATTCTGAATTATGCCTGATAATTTAAGAGCAGGTGTCATTTCATTTGGGAACAAGGTGTTCCTCTAAAGTAAACTCTGATCTTTGTCTGCTGAGCTGTCGTCAGATCCCCTCTGGTTTCAGAAAGAAACAATACCAACACATTAAAAATAAACCCAGAGAGCGACACCTCACTTCCCGGCAGGAGCTTTGTGCAGACTCAGTCAGAAATGTGAGCCAAACACCAAAAGCTTCTGCAGGAGTCAGTGGTAGTTTTTCTCACAGTGCTGTGAATAGTGTTGGTATTAGATTTTAAACTCTCAGACAGGCTGGTAATCTAAGTACTGGCCACCTTAGCGTGATGGTCTTGATGGTGAAGGAGTAATCATGGATGCCCGTGGTGGGGAATCGAACTCGCAACACGTCCTGCTCTGTGGGAATGTAGTCTGGGGCAGAGATGCGGTCCAGGTTACTCATGTAGCTGAAGGAGAGAAGAAGAAAGTGAGTGAAAGAGTGGCACAACAGGAGACGTCTAGTAAAACATATTGCGTCTGTTTACAGCCTCTACAGCTAAAATAAACTGAAGCGACACAAGATATATGATGAAAAAAAAAAAAACAGTGATTAAAAGTACAAGAAGGGAGCGGAGTGAGTTCATATCATAACCCTGTGTACAGACCAAGGCTTTATGGCTGCTGTTGATACAAGCTGTCATTAGCTACTGCCTGTCTCTTATCATGCACACACCATGATGATTGAGCCGCCGGGTAAACACGGGATATAACAGCAATAGAAAGGAGAGAAAACGGAGGCAGGCTGAGCCCTTTGTTCTGTGATACTTTAGAGCATGAAGCTCACACCTACTGTGTGTTAAATCCTTTCATGTTGATTAAAAGGACAGTGTAGGAGTAGCTCTGTGACACTCTGTGACTGATTTAGGTTTTTCTTATCAGTTTGAAAGATGATTCATGTGTGAGTGTGCTTCTTTAAATACTCTTTGATCAACTGGTGGTTTCAGAGTGGCTGAAAAACAGCTGGACTAACTACAGTCTGTAAAGAACTAGCCCCCTCCAGTGGTCTCAGGACAAAGTACAAAGTCTTATACTTGGTACCACAATGACAGATATGTGGGGCTGAAACAAAACAAAGCAGTATCAAAAAAAAAAGTATCACTTATTTTAAGATAATGTCCGAAAAATGTGTCTTCTTGAGATCAAACAAAAAAATAAACAAATTAATAAAATAAAACTGATTTATCAAACACACAAAATGGGAACCAATAAGTACACGAAACCTCCTCAGGTCTCATTACCCTTTCCATTAAAAAAATTCGACAGTACAAGCTCAATACATCTCATTTAAATAGCCTTTTTTCCCCGCTGTGTGTCCTCTGTGAGTTTTGGTACAAAGGTCAGATGTGGCATAAACAAACAATACAACAATCTGTCACCACACAGTCTCCTGTGACATTATTACAGCAGCTGTGTCCTTGCTTACAGATATATGGTATTTAAAGCTATCGACTTTTAACTGAGAAATGTGGTTATGGTTACCGAGTAAGGCTCCAAAATGATGATAGGTTAGTATTTACACACTGTAGAGGATGATAAATATCACTATTGCAAATCCTGGTGAAATATGGTCTAAATGTGAGCGTTCGATCAACGTCTTCAAATAGTCGGTCACAGAACTTTTACTTTTGAACCATTTCTGAGCCTCTTTTCACCGGTGACCGTTTCGTTTTTTAAAAGTCTTTTCAAGGGAAAAATGCTTGCTAAGTGCAGTTGGTAACTTTTATGAAACAAAAAAGCTTAATATTCTCTGAACTCTCACAGTATCCACATAGAGCTAAATTAGACAAATAATCGGTGAAAAAATTATATTTCTCTGCCTACACTATTGCCTTGTAGCGCTTCTAATGGTCTCACTGCATGTGAATGAAAACAACCAATCAGAGCCAAGAAGTCTCTCTCAGCTGTTGATCATGTCAATCACTGCTTGTGAACTGAGGTCAAACTGTCAAACTAGGCAGCACTGATGAAATGTGAAGCAAGATTCTGTGAGTTTGCTGCTTTTCTCTGTCTTATGTCAACGTGAATTAGAAGTTTTTGTTGGTTTAGTTTAGCTTCCTTTAGTTTAGTTTAGTTTAGTTTAGCTTCCTTTAGTTTACTTTAGCCCCCTATAGTTTAGTATAGTTTAGTTTAGCCCCCTTTAGTTTAGTCTCCTTTAGTTTAGTTTAGTTTAGCTTCCTTTAGTTTAGCTTAGTTTAGTTTAGCTTCCTTTAGTTTAGTTTACTTTAGCCCCCTTTAGTTCAGTCTCCTTTAGTTTAGTTTAGTTTAGTTTATTTTAGTTTAGCTTCCTTTAGTTTAGTTTAATTAGCCTCCTTTAGTTTAGTTTAGTTTCCTTTAGTTTAGTTTAGTTTAGCTTCCTTTAGTTTAGTTTAGTTTAGCCTCCTTTAGTTTAGTTTAGTTAGCCTCCTTTAGTTTAGTTTAGTTTCCTTTAGTTTAGTTTAGTTTAGTTTAGCTTCCTTTAGTTTAGTTTAGTTTAGTTTAGTTTAGCTTCCTTTAGTTTAGTTTAGCTTAGTTGAGTTAACTTTAGTTTAGCTTACTGTAGTTGAGTTTAGCTTAGCTTCCTTTAGTTTCGTTTAGGGGAACGTATCTATGTTTCCCGGGTTCTATGTTCCCCATTTAACCCTGCAAAAAAGGTTCTATGTTCCCCAGTTCCTTTAGCTTCCTTTAGTTTAGTTTAGTTTAGTTTAGCTTAGTTGAATTGAGTTAGGTTTAGCTTACTTTAGTTAACTTTAGTTTAGCTTACTTTAGTTGAGTTTAGCTTAGCTTACTTTAGTTTAGTTTAGCTTAGTTTAGCTAACTTTAGTTTAGTTTAGCTAGGCTTAGCCTAGTTTAGTTGAGTTTAGCTTAGCTTACTTTAGCTTAGCTTAGCTTAGTTTAGTTTAGCTTCCTTTAGTTTAGTTTAGTTTAGTTTAGCTTATCTTAGCCTAGTTTAGTTGAGTTTAGCTTAGCTTACTTTAGTTTAGCTTAGTTTAGTTTAGTTGAGCTTCCTATAGTTTAGTTTAGCTTAGCTTAGCTTAGTTTAGTTTAGTAGGCTCCCCATTAGCTACTGAATCTCAGCAGCTATTCTTATCGAGGTCCACAACAACTTTACATTTGTGACAGTGCACAAAACAACTCACATATAGCACTTAACAAAATAACAGGACTAGACTAAAACACTGACAAAAACAAAACATCTCCTGGCAATACAATAATTAAGATGTATGCTTTTTCATTTTTTCATTTGTTAAGTAGCAGCAAGTTTGGGGTTAAATTTTTCCCCTCATTACCTGATGACGCTCCATAACTGTTGACCAAGTATTTACATAATACCATACATTCACATTTGTATGTTTACATAAACACATTACTTGTCTATTGAAGGGAATATTTCCCAGGGAAAACAGTATTTTTTCCATGTATGAATTTCATTACAGTGTATCAATCACATTATATAGGTCACCTGTTTTTGTGAACTCATTTGGAAAACGTGAAAATATGATTAGCACATTTCATAAATTGAACAATTAATCGTTGGACTGGAAAAAATATTTATGAGATTAATTCATGACGTAAATGAATGTTTGCATCTGTAGTCATAATCACATAATACACCTTTGAAACAATAAGACTAATGTCTCAGATTTCTCTAAAGTAAACTTTGCAGTAAATACAGTATTAGATTATCTTGATATTTTAGAGGTGTGTTTCTTGATTTCATTTCCTGACTTGGAAAAACATCATGTATCACAGATTCCTATATTGTGATATCATTTTGGCAGCTTGCTGTGACAGCGTTTGTTCATGTGATACTCTGTGACTACTAGTCATGACTCAGGGTGTGGTACACTGCAGACAGCTCTGGCTCCCACTGTGAGACAGTTACTCACTACTCTGTGGAGTCCAGCAGCTGGTACTCGCAGCGCCGGCTGTAACAGACCCGAATTCCAGAATCTGCCCAGAGTCGGCGGATTGCGTCAGCGTAGCCTCGATCCATCTGGGAGATCTGCACCGTGTTTATGTCCTGCACCCATCTGGCGTAGATCTGAAAGATAGTGAGAGACTCAGTGTATTAGGTTTTGCTCTGTACCACGTATGTGACAGGTGCTGTGTGTGTTTATGGTGAAACTGCCAGCTTCTATTTATAGACGACAACATGCTGAGTGTGTGTTTCTAAGCCGTTGTGTTTGATGCCTTGTTTAATATGGGCATCGTTTCATGGCTCAGGTGAGTGCACATGCCCTGATGCTCACACACCTGTGTTGACATCTGTGTGTGTTAAGGGTCTGTGTTGTGTGTCTACCTCATTCTCAGGGTTGAAATAGGGGATTTTCAATGTGGTCATGGCTCCCGTCATCGCCTTCATGGCTGAGAAAATGTTCTGGTAGATGCATTTGGCAAAGGTCCTCCTCTCCTCCTCTGAGAAGCCTCGTCCATGGATGATCCTCATCTGTCGGATGAAGGTGGTTTTTCCGCTCTCCCCGGTACCTGAGGCAACAAATGGGAGATGAAACGATGACCAGTTATAACTAAAAGTGTGATTCTATCAACAGAGTAGCGCAGAGGTTAGCACCCTTGACTCAATGTGCCCCACCTTTGTCTTTATGAGTGTACTCAAGAGGCCAGATGTTTAAACGATGTGTATGCTCAATAGGGTTGCAGCGATACACCAGTTTCAAGGTATATCGTAACATAACAGTTTATGGTTATCATACCGTGTACATTTGCGAATCTACGATATAGAAAAAAATGCAATTTGGTGGAGGAAATTATTTATGAGAGAAGTTAATCTTTTTTCTATTTACATTTATCTCCCTGTCAATGACTATTTATTTTTTTGTTGTACAACACTTTGTAAAGTCCCTGTCTACATGAGTGCTATGAATCAATCATCAATCATCTTTCTGACGTTGAATAATGATGATGATTGACATATTATCAGGATGATGTTTTCTATAACGTGTGGGGCCGTATTCCCAAACATTCTGAGAATACTCTTAGAGAGTCCAGGCTTAGGAGCAATTTAGAAAAGTTCTGAGCAACTCTGAGCAACGAAGGGACAGAAACTTTGACACATTCTTTTAACAGATGTGATTGGTTGTCACAGGCACACCCATTTGTGAGCCTACAAGATGTGGACACCCAGTGGAAATGAAATAAACTGCTGACTGAGAAAGTGTTGTCATTGTTAGTGTGATCACTCTGCTGATGGAAGGTTGAGACAGACTTAGTCTCGCTCACCAGACCTTTCTCAAGAAAAGAAAGGTCTGGCTGCGCCGACTCTCACTTTAAGATTGGAGAAAAAAACGCCCCGGCTGCTTGTATTTCTTTCAACCAATCACAATCGTTCTTGGCAGTGCCACAGCAATGGTGCGCTTGCAAAAATATTGCCGGGGGGAAACAGGTTTTGGTGTAACACGGCCACAAAAATATCGCCTACAGGACACAAACCATGGCAGAGAAATGGCTACATCCCGCAAGATCAAACACCGCAAAAGTTAGTAAAGGACGTTTGTCGACTATGACAACTGGAGGTGGTAGGGCGGGACTTCAGCGGGTGGCTCGTTCCGCCCAATGAGAGGCTGATCTATGCAGCGAACTTCCGCCCACTCAGACTAAGACAGACTCAACACATCACTGCTGCATTGTTGTATTTTTCCAGTCTTTCAAATATCTTAGTGTTGTGATGATTTTATTTCTGGTGTTACAACGTTAGGTGGGAAAAATGTGCATATCCCAAATTACATCGACCGCAAAAATTATCCCTGCACAATCTAATCTGTTGCATTTCATTTCCTCGATGTCATCCAGTGTTTGGAGAATATATCTACTACCTTTTTGTTTCGACCATTTTCTCATCTCCAAACTCAAACTCTTAAGCCTCTGAAAAGTCCTCCTCTCTGCTCTTTACAGTTTTTCACCTTAAGAGCTTTCTTAAGGTCTAAGATGTTCTGTGAATTACTTTTATCTTTACAAGGTTCCAGTCTTAACTTTAAGAGGAAATTTCAAACAAAACGTCACAACTCTAAGAATTTTCTTTGAATTTTCGTCACCAGAAGCAACTCTTAGCACCAGGAAGCTTTGTGAATACGGCCTGTGATGACTTAGTGATACAGATGTTACAAATCGGCACAGTCCTGTGTGTAATGACAGCTGCTTTGTCGTTGAACCTCGCCAATGCAACACAGTCACTGCAAATGCACATTCTTATTTGTATTTCTCGATGACAGATCTGAGTGTGGGGGCAAAAGTATCGATACGATAACCGATGTTTTACAGGCGTCTTTACATCCATTTATGGCAAACCGTGGATGTGGAAATCAGACTTGTGCACGTGCAACCAGTTCCACAATCAGTGAGATTTATCAAACAGAATCAGGTTCCGCTTTATAGATCTGACGAAAAGACTGCGTATGTACATTTCTGTTTTTGTGTATAACCACAGTTTTAGCTGTGAATCTACACAGAGCTTTCTGCACCCAGCGACAGTTGTGCCAGCATCTTCCCACAGTCCAAACAGTTTTGATTGCACAATAGTTGACGCACTTTCTTTGTGTCATAAATCAAGGCTTAATTAATCTGGGAGATCACACCTAATGGTAGACAGAATTGCATAGAGAAAGCGAGTCTTATAGCGAACCTAAATGCCAGTCATGGAAGGATTACTGAACAGGCCTACCGGGCACAGACCTGGAGCCCCCTTGGCCCTCACCTACAAAATGTCAATCAAATTAACACCTACCGGGAAGAGACACAAAACAACAAAAGGAGGCAAAATACAACAAAGAGAAACAAAATGACCAAAAAGACACAAAATTACCTCAAAGAGACATGAAGTGATCAAAAAGGACACTGAACTACCTCTAAGAAATGCAAAATGACCTCAGAGACACAAAATGATGTCAAAGAGAAACAAAATGACCAAAAAAAAAGGACACTGAATTATCTTAAAGAGATGCAAAATGACTACAAAGAGACACAAAATGACCAAAAAAAGACACTGAATTACCTTAAAGAGACACAATGCGTTACGACTACGAAGAGATGCAAACCAAGGAGAAGTGAAACAACTATAAAGCACCTCTATAGGAGAAGTGGGGTGGGCCTTTTGCATGTCTGGGCCTAAGGGCACATTGTGTGATAATTCACCCCTGATGCCAATAGTGTCATTATACTGCAGCCCTTACACTGTGCAGTCAACATTTACTACATAATGATATGTCAAAGCAAGTCTATTTCTACTGATGTGCTCTGAGAATACAAAATAAAGCTCTAATGTTTTAGATTCTTAGCTTCTACAGTTGAAGGATGAAAACATTACCGTCCTTGAAGGAAAGCAAGGAAACCACAACAGAGGGACAAGGTGACGCTGATGGACCGGACGTTACTTTAACAGATGCACATTTTCTCTTCGCTCTTTATTTTCAGCCTTGCAGATTAAAGCCAAATAGTGATTGGAGATAAAATGAAAAACAAGTTGCACGTTTGTCTCCACACGTTTGAAGAGGTCGACAGGCTGCAGAGCAACACCCCCTCGAGTCATGATGTAGTTCCTGTTTTAGAGCGCTGTCTGCTGCTCTTTGGATGTGTGTGTTACTCAATCAGTTGTCTGCAAGAAGGAACTCAAACACTGATTATTCCGCCACACACTTTCCTGTGATTTCTCAACACTGCTTTCGAGGAATGATCCTCAAACAAACCTGTGCTGATAGAAAATGCTTTCAACACCGTTTTATTGACAGTCCTGTTCCCGAACACAAACATTTGTTTTCTGTCGCTCCACACAGTGATACAGGAAATAAGAGCGGGCAATAATTCAATATTATTGTTTACTGTTTCTCTGTATCACTGCAGGGTTTCCCCCAGGAAATTTACCGGAGGTGTTAAACACCCCTGAGGTCCTGATGCATCTCGCCTCGGTATCCGCTTAGTTTGCTGATAACACACTGGACAAAAGACGCACTTAAACACGAGGTATTTACCATTTGAAATACTGGCTGTGAGTTTTTACGATGTGGTTTACGGTACGGTGGTCTTTATTTTAAGCGAGGTCGCTCACATTCACAATAAAACAATAAAAGTCTGCAGGGAAGCAGCTGCACACTTGTCATATCAGGAGGATGTGGTTTAAAGTGCTGTTAAAAAAAATGTCAATCAAAAGAAAATAAACCAAAACATCTGAATTATTTAAAATTATTAGTAAAAAAAACGACAAATACTCAGTAGTTTCAGCTTTAAAATGTGGAAACGTGCCACTTTTTGTGTTTTATTTCATTGTAAATTGAATATTTTTGGACTTTCGGGTTGAAATAAACAACTTAAAGTAAAAATAAGCAGCAGAATAATCAATAATGAAAATAATCATAAGTTGAAGCCCTGCCTCGCTGTTCTTTTTAAAAAGAAATATGGGATTTTGTTCCATTATAACACCAAAAAAAGCATTTTATTCAATTTTATACGCATTAGTCTAACTTTTTAACAAGTGAGTTTGAATACTTTAGTGCCATATCAATACTGGGAAGCTGCCTTGATGATAATTAGGATATAAATTAAAAATGACACCACATGGACATATTTACTTCATAATATCAGCCGATGCAAATCAGTAGAAATTGCATTATGTGATGACTTAAAATTAAAAACTAAAATGAAATCGCAGGTTCATATTTAGCAGAAAAGTTTCAGTTACACTCTAAGAAATAACACACTGATTCAACTTTAGAAAATTAAGGTTAAAAATTTGCATGCATCGTTTTAAGTTTTTTACTATCTGATAACCTCAATTAGTTTAGTTCAACCAACATGATTTGTTTTGACCTTGAAAAACATAATTAAGTTGAACCAAATTAACATTTATCCAAAAGTTGATCTTTAGTGGTCAAACTGTTTTATTTAAAATATCCCAAATTATTTATTTGAATTCTATCCTACTCAAAAATGTCAAAAATGTTTCAGATTTTGACCAGCTTCTTAAAATAAGTTGTCAACCAAAGAAAACACATTAATGAAACAAACGTAATTTTTTAATACTGAAAGACTTATTTATTTTAAGCATTATCCACTAACCCCACGAATAATCTTTTTGAGTGAAGGCTGCAACTATCATTTATTTTCCTCAGTAGTTATTCTGCCAATTAGTATTTCAATGTATCAATTAATATTTTGGTCTATTAACGTCTGATAATGAACATGTTTTCACTATCTGTACAAAGGGTACGTATGGAGTTTGGTAAGCGAGCATTTCTGTATGCAGCTCCTTATATGTGGAATCTTCTGCAGAAGGATTTAAGCGGGATTTATACTTGTGCGTCAGACCCTACGCCATAGCCTACACTGTTGTGAGCATTTATACTTGTGCAGGGGTGTGTCTGTGTCACTCTGCAGCTACACCTCCAAAACACTGGTTGGCGGCGGGGTTTCTGTGAAGTTCTGTAAAGTTTAGTTGATTCAAAACACACATTAAACACACATTAAACATGGCTTAATAGAGACAATTTCAAACACAAGTACACAAATCATCTTCACTGTAACTCACAGTATTCACAGACAAAGCACTTGTCTTTATCTGGACACATTTTCCCCACAAATACAACATGCTAACGTTATTAGCACAAGCATATGGCATTTTACATTGTATAAATTAGCCTAGCAGCTAGCGAACCTTCTCTCTACTCATATAAAACCAGGGACAACAGCAACATTTAACAAAAGTAACGCTACTTGGCTCCATTACAACTCACAAGGTTCACTGACAAAACAACTGTCTTATACTAAACACATTTTCCAAACAAATGTAACATGCTAACATTTTTAGCACAAGCCCATGGCATTTGACATTGTATAAGTTAGCCTAGCGATGAGCGGAGATTTCCTTCTCCTCATATGAAGCCAGGATAAATCCTGAAATCACACATAGGACTTAAAATGCCATCTTGTGGAGGCTTTATTGTCTTCATAATTTATTGTTTCTTATCTGCTAAACTGAAGTAAATAAAAGCGTTGTTTCCAAAGACCAGCTATGACACAGCCTTACATTGGCATTTCAAAGATTGTGTAGAGAAATCCTGCAGCCGTGCTTTGAAATGGCCGAGAGGAACCACAAAGTGCAACTGTAAGGCAAATTTTATACTTCTGCGTTGAGATAGAGCCTACGCCAAACCCTGAGCCGTAGCCTGACGTGCAGCTCTCCAGAAATGTAACTACACATCGCGGCAATGCAGACCTCCTGTCTGTTTCTGTAAGCTGAAACCATTTCGCTCAGTGGAAACAAACTTTTATTTACTTTAATTTCACAGATAAACAATAAATTGTGAAGACAGTAAAACCTTCACAAAAACAGCATTTCAAGTCTTGTGTGTGATTTATCCTGGCTTCATATGAGTAGAGGAATTCTCGCTCGTCGCTAGGCTAATTTATACTATGTAAAATGCCATAGGCTTGTGCTAATAATGTTAGCATGTCATATTTGTTTGGAAAACGTGTTCAGTATAATACAGTTGTTTGTCTTTGAATGCTGTGAGTTACAGTGAAACCGATTTGTGTACTTGTGTTTGAAATTGTCTCTACTAAGCCATGTTTAATGTGTGTTTTTAATCAACTTAACTTTACAGCACTTCACAGACACCCGCCACCGACAAGTGTTTTGGAGGTGTAACTGCAGAGTGCTTGCATGTCTGTATCATCGTATGACAATTATGATCTTAAGTGTTCCTGTGCTATGTTCTGTAAAAACTGCCAAACCCAATACAACAATTAGCAACAACAAAAAGAAATTGAAATATTTGATTTCCTCCGCACCGCCCAGCCTCAACGTCCCCTTTAATCCACCTATTAACACCCTGGACCTGTCAGCTGGCTTTATCTGACTCCTTTAAAGCACCAAAACAAAAGCTGCTAAGCCTCTGCTGCCATTCAGGTCATCAAAAAAGTCATCCAACCTGATGTAGAGTAGGCCTGTAGGTTTCTGTGGTTTTCAGGTCCAACCAATCCCAATCTGGACCATACTTCACATACTCACATGGTGACACATGCTTTACATAGTTTTCTCTACAAGGCTGCGGGCTACCAAACAGGCCAGGCAGATTTTAATGTGCATACAGGGCGTTCCTTTATAGTGTCCTCCTGGATGACTGAGTCAGGTGGATTTTTAATTTATTTGCTTAATAAATTTGCCATCACTGATTTTAATTTTCTCTCACAGGCCTCACACTGTTATTATAATGTAGAGGATGAACAGAGGTGCTGTGTGTGTGTGTCACTGACCCAGCAGGAGGATTTTAATCTCCCTTCTCTCCTTCTTCTTCTGCTGCTTGAGGATCCTCTGGATCTCTTTGTCCACTGCAATGGTCTTCTTTTCCTCCTCGGACAGACAGCACATGCACGTGCGGTGGCACCAATGCCAGCAGCCCGCCATGGCCAAAAGCACTGAAATGAGACTGTTAATGAATAATCAGCTGTCTGTAATGAGCAGGTAAGGACTGGCTAATAAACACACTGTCGAGCTGTCCATCTGATGTCCCTGAGTGTTTGACTCTGGGCAACCAGTCAGGATTTATTCCAACACACCCCCCCCCGGAAATCTGACTTTGACAATGACGGTGAAAATGTAATCAGTGCCCGTGTAAACACGTCACAGATTAACTTTAAATTGTGTTTCACTGTTCAACAGTGTGACAGGAGCTGTGCCAGGTGTCAGCACAAGTCATCTCTGAGATACCTGGTTGGTTTTAAATCAAGTTTAGAAGTTAGACACAAAGCAGTAGCGCTCTTTACCTCCAAATCAGTCCGTCACACTCTCTGAAAACGCGCAGGTACACACTCTGACTGCGTCTCACGGTCCATGTCCCACCGTGTCCCCTCCGTCCACTCCAGCTACCAGCTCCCGTCGCTGAGGCGCAGCAGTAGAAGCGTCATTAGCCCACTGACACGGAGGTAAAACTACTCTTTTTCCAGCCCACGCGAAACAACCTGCAGCTCGGGAAAGTCCACCGCGCCTACAGAGGAATGTGCAGCCTGTGTGTCCGCTGGAGACGCTCTGGAACAGGAATGCGCTCTGGGCGACGCCGCGGCAAGAGTGCGGCAAAGAACCGCAGCTGCGCCGGAAGTGAGGTAACACTTCCTACAAATTAGAGCACGCTGTTGCTTTTTTTTTTTTGTTACATAGGCTGGCACTTCATTGAAATATCAGTGCTGGAGAGTAACTCCTTTTTTATCATTTATTAAATTAATTTTTTAAAAATAATTAATTTATCGTTTTTGTAAAATGAAAATATAATTTTGCAATAGATGGCTACTGACAATGTCACAAAATGAAAAGATAAAAGAAAGATTAACGGAGATGGGTTTGCCTTCTTGAGGGCCAACCCGGTCTTACTCCAAGGTTGCTGAAAGCTGGCAGGGACTTGTGGTGTCAGACACTGACGAAAAAGCTGTTCTTTAATGCTGGCATGATACGCAGCTGGTTGCTGTTATAGTTCAACAGGGCTTGGCGGCATCAGGGTGAAACACAGCAGGACAAGAATGAAGGTTAAGGCGGCAAAGTCCGAGTAGGGTGGATGGAAGGGGGCGTGGATGAGTCCAATAAACACTGACTTTCACCCAGGAGAGTGGTGTTCATAAGGTTATAAAGCCAAAACCCTGTTCTTTTTTCCTAAACCGGACCACATGTTTTTGTTGCCTAAACCCAACCACTTGCATCAGTTGTGAGGAGGTAGGAAAAAAGTCAGTTCACGTTGTTGTACTGACGTAGTGCATTTATTTTGACAGAGACTGTACATAAACAGTAAATTTCCTGTGAAAACAGAAGTGCATTTTGAAAGAAGATAATGCATGTAACAGGCAGAACTTGACACGGCGTCCCAGAAAGTCAACAACCAACCCACCCAGAGTACCTTGCACGTCGTACCTGTACGTAGAAAATCAGTGACGAGGTCAGAGTGAGAATGTGTTGTGAGGGCAGATACAGCAGATAACTGCGTTTGTATTTAAACATGTGCTCATCTTTGAACAAAGGCATATTTCTGAAATGGCAAGTTGAATCACTCGCAAGGGCCTGTTCCCTGCTCTAGCGAGAGCGGGCCCTTGAACCACTCCTCCCCACCCTATGGGCCCCAGTGCAACTGCACTACCTGCACTGTCTATATTTACGCCCCTGTTACAAAGACAAAACAAGGCAGGCTTTGTATTTTTATTTATAGGCTAGCACATTTCAGCACCAAGGAGATTCAAAGTGCTCTACATAAAACATCACAAGCTTCAACACAAGGTGCAAAAGAAACACGTTAGAAAAGGACATTTAGAAACAAAGTATTAAAGAACTAAAGAAAAGAAAAAATGTTAAAGTATGCTAGAACAGGTATAAAATACAAGAATAAAAGTTTTGGTGCAGTCAAAATCAATAAAAATATCTGAATAATAGAAGTAACAGTGCAGTGGCAAACAGAGAAGTCTTCAGCTTTAATTTAAAATAACTGCTTTTCCATGTTTAACTGACTCTCAGCAATCATTTTCTGTGTCTCAAGTACACTCTTGTGATACTTAAAGTACATTTTGTGTAAGATACTTAAATACTTAGTACATAAGTGCTTTTTGAATGATTATTTGTTACTCATAACAGAGCCTTGTTTTTCATTCAGGCAAAAAACTGCAATGACACTGAATCGTGACCAAATGTGCAACATGCTTAAGAAGTTAAATCCATAGTGCAGCAGCAGATTTCTGACCCTACAGTACATGATTCATTGCTGATACTGACCACTCCTCTGAGTCATTGTTCAAAAGTCAATAAGCCGGTCATGAGTCTTGTGTGACATGAACAGATATGACAGAATGCACAATGGTGTAAGTGCAGCCCAAACCGCTCCATGTGTTGACAGCAGATCTGATACAATAGCCTCTATCTATAGCTGAATGTATAGCTGGGGAGCAAAGTTCCTGGTTCATGCTGTCTTTGATTTCTAACAATGAAGTGAAAACTCCAGCACTGTTTGTTTTTCTCAGAGACAATGATTTATGTCAAACTTCAGAATCAAATCACGTATCATGGAAAAATTACTGAAAACCTTTTATTTACAAAGAGTTTATCTCAAAAGGTTTAATAAGGAGAACTGCAAATGCCGACTGTTTATTTTATTTATTTATTTTTGCATATTGGTAATACTGTTTTTATGTACATGTCTTTGTGAAAGTATAATTTAAAAAAAGCAAAGGAATAATAAGAACTTTTTAAAATTATCTCTAAATAAGTGTCTAACTTTGGTGTTTATTTTTACTCATTCTGGTGTTTCTGTGAGTCTCCACCAGTGTTGGGCCTGGTCAGACTGTTGCATTATTTTGAAAAGCTGACACTGGAAGTAGTCATCCTGTGACTGAGTTTGATTTGACAGCAGTATGAATGAGTGCGCTGCGCTGTGGATAAAGTTTCGGCTGCTGCAGAGGCTCCCTGCTTTATGTTTCAGCTGAACTGTGAAATCACGGACACACAAGTTTTATTAGATTATTATTTATTAAAGGCCTGTGCTAAAAGTTTAAACTTTACATTAACACATTTCAGCTACATTTAATATCCATTTTCTTGTGCTTAGTGTAGATTTGGAAACTTTACTAACTGATCTTCAAAAATATTCAATTTCATACAATATAAATTATATAGAAATAGGCACAAACATATATAGTGATACAATAGGACACCAAATAAGTACAACAAAATCTCTGTGAAGTTAACAAGTAACAGTAAACAAAGACATGACGGGTGCCTGTAGGACTCATATAGCAGGAGTATCACAGCAGGTCATGAATCAACCTGCAAATGTTTCGGAGCACAGATGAAGTGTACAACAGGTATTTAGTCGCTCCTCCTCGGCTGCTATTTGAGTGTCAATCTTTTGTCTCCAGCCAGAAGAACCGGTTGGTCCAGGCTTTCATGGTCCCAGATATTGAGATCACCTGAGCTCTGCGTTGCCATGGCAACGAGGTGAGAGACCAAGAGAGGTGTGAATGGACTGAGGGGTTTTGGTTAGTGTCATACTGTATGTGTATGAAGCATAGTGAACTTTATTTTAGGGAGGTGTGCTTTCTGTAAACAAAGACGGCCCTTTGAAGTTTGTGTGTGTGTGTGTGTGTGTGTGTGTGATATCTGAGATGGGCTACATATAGTTTAACAACAAGTTATATAAGTGTAAATGGCACTATGAGAACACATGCATCCCTAATGTTTTGGTTGAGGAGAATAAGTGTATTTGGTTCTTAGGAAGTCAGTTTACATGGATAATATTAATACAAATTAAAGATGTTATTGTTGTTGCTGTGTTCTGAGTATTATGACAAAACGATAAAAAGTTTTTGCAGCTTTTTTCTTGACTAAAAATGTATTAATACAGTTGTTTCTGTGAACGTCTGCTTGTCTTTTTCATCAGTGGAATTTCACCCTCTCCATTCTCTGGCATGAGCGATGTGTTTCATGACACTGTGTCAAGATGAAATTGATGTTAATAAAACAAGAAATTCAGAGAAGGCGGGGGAGTGAGTGAGAGACAAAGACACAAAACAAGGAAGAAAGACAGAGAGGGCGGTGGGGAATCCTGCGAAGCAAGTGGGCGTGGACTGACGCTAACAGGAAAGTACCTGCCTTTATCCTTCACCTTACAGGAAGTTACAGATGTGTCTGAATCTGAATCTGAATGATACAACACACTATCATTTGGTCAGTTCTGTGGGTGTTGTATCATCTTGTGGATGAATCTTTACAGGCAGCAGAAAAACACCCAGCCGGAAGAAGAGTGTGGGGAGAGGAGACTTTGTCCTCTGCCTCTGGCGTCTGTGGGAAACAGACAATGATCAATGATTAATCTGACACTGAGACACACTGGAGACGATGGAGCAGCACAGTCTGGTTCCTCTCATGTTCACGTCACCTCTGACGATGAATTCACTGATGCAAAATGATGCTCAGTAGGAGGAATCATTGAAACACAACAGTTCAAATGAGATTTTAAAGCACTAATGCCAGAAAATAGAGCATTTTCAAAAGATTTAATTTGTTTATGAGATTATCTGTAAAGGTGTGTGTAGGATTCAAGGGAATGTATTGGCAGGAATGGAATACATTATTAATGATTATTATTCATTAGTGTATAATCATCTAGAACTAATAATTGTTGTGTTTTCATTAGCTTAGAATCAGTCATTCATATATACATACTGTCATCTTCCACAGAGTCTGCCATGCAGGCCCCTTCAAAAAGCTGCTCAGCCTTGCCTCTGTTGTTTCCCAGTGGCCACTCGTGGTATTGCAGTGACAAAATCCCCAAATGCATTTTCCCAAAACCAAAGAGAGAGACATATGTAACCTAAAACTGTTGACAGGACACCTTGAACTGCAAACAACGTCAGTTGTGACCTCCATCCATTCATGTGCTTATTCGATGCCGTGTCGCAGGGGCAGTAGGCCAAGCAAGGCACCCCAGACATTCCTCTCCCCAGCAACACTTTCCAGCTCCTCCTGGGGGACCCCAAGGTGTTCTCAGGCCAGATGAGATATGTAATCCCTCCAGCGTGTTCTGGGTCTGCCTCTTAACAGGAGGTGCCCAGGAGGCATCCTGATCAGATGCCTGAACCACCTCAACTGACCCCTTTCAATGTGAAGGAGCAGCGTCTCTACTCTGAGCTCCCTTCAGATGTATGAGCTCCTTGTCCTATCGCTAAGGCTGTGCTCATTTTGGCCACTTGTATCTGTAATCTCATTCTTTTCATCATTACCCAGAGCTCATGACCATAGGTGAGGGTTGGGACGTAGATGGAGCAGTAAATCGAAAGCTTCACCTTCCGGCTCAGCTCTCTCTTCACTACATCAGTACAGCGCAGCACCCGCATCACTGCAGATGCCGCACCAAATAGTCTATCCATCTCACGCTCCATTTTAATCTCACTCATGAACAAGACCCCAAGATACTTGAACGCCCTTGCTTGGGGCAGTGACTTACTCCCAACCCAGAGGGGGCAATCCGTTGTGTTCCGGCACAGAACCATTGCCTCAGATTTGGAGGTGCTGACTTTCATCCCAACCCCTTCACACTCAGCTGCAAACTGGAAACCTGCTGGAGGTCACATTGTGAAGCTAACGTCATCAGTTATGACATTTCTCTTTAT